TCAGTCTACCCTATTGATTTTGTCGCATTATTAATTTTAAAAAAATCACACCCAGATATCTGAGTTCCCCGGGTCACGTTCCTTAGAAACAGGGTATCAAAATTCTAGAAACATCTACATGACGTAGGTGTGGGAGGCACCGCAAGACAGACGAGGCAAGGAAGAATACAACCAGTGGTTCTCACATTTACAGCAAATACCTCAAGATAAAAAATCCCATCTAAATAATTCTAAATAATAATCTCATAAAAGGGACAGAAACAAATCAAGTTTAAATCGCGTTATATTTTATGTGAGGATAATAGATCCCAAGAAATCGGATGCACTTTGAGAACCGTCGACAGAAAAGCCTATATTATTTGGAGATGTGCGTAGATGTCTTTAAACACCACAACACCGTACACCAATCAACGTAAATCACGTGACACTGGACACCAATCGCAGGACGTTGACAAATTACCCCACGCAGGGATAAGTGTTTCTTAATTCCAATTAACTGGGCACATGTTTTTGGATTTGTCTGGGGCGAGGTTTTAAGTCAAAACTAGGGTAAAATCAGGGGACTGCACTCTCCGTGTCGGCATCAAGGGAAATAATCGGAGTTAATCAGGCTGAAATATGGTGTAACTTTATTCAAAGTAACAAGATATTTTATTCACAACAAGGTGAAAAAATATATTAGCATATACACTTCATTCAGAACAATTAAATTATTGTTGTTGTTGTTGTTTTAAAATTAGTAATTGGACATCATAATGTTATAACATTAATAAAATATTTTTTTTAAATAGCGAACTATTTTTAAATAGGCTGGCTCTATTGTCTTATGATAGGAAATATTTTCCATCTCTAGAACCCTCCACTGCTTTCCACGAACCTGAAATATATTTTTAACTTTTGGTCCTTTCCTTCACCCATGCTAACCGGCTGTCGAGGTCAGTCAGCCAATCAAAACTCACGTCAAAATATCATATTAAAACTCTCAGGTAAAAATAAATCACATTGTTAAAACTAAAAGTTGAGTTATTTGAATTTTTTTTTCACCAACAATGTCATGAATGAAAAGTATATTTTAAAATGTATTTATAAATTTTAACTCGAGGAAGCGCTCCTGAGTTGAAGCTAACTATGGCCTCTGGGCGATGCTGAGGTTTACTTAAAAATAATAATCCCTTGGTCCTTGAACAATGTTTGTGATTTTTGCCTTTGAACTTTTTAGTCCATCGTCATTATTTTATCCCGTTCGTAACCAAGACACATGGGGCAAAAGAAGTAGAGGTCATCTGTTTCAATGACCTCGGCATATGAAGGGATTATATGGTCAGCATTAAGCCAAGCCGCTATTGTTTCCTTAACGTGAGTCAGGTACCCATCACAGCTGGGTGGCCTCAGGGACGTCACACAGTCTCGAACCCCGTGATTTGAATTTAAGACATACGGGTTAGCAGTCGTAAGCTCTACCGCCCGACCAAGCCGTCGGTTTTTCAATGAAGTGTTTGAAGAATTTCAGTGTTGGTCCATAATTTTAAGTGAGACGAGCTCTATAGCAGCTATGTAATAGGAACCTGAACTAAATTAAGGGTATGCGGATACGGCACCTCTCAACACCACCCATAAAAGAATACAACACCCACCACTACAGCTTGGTGTTTTCTATCGTCTCCAAGAAGAGAATTATATATATATATATATATATATATATATATATATATATATATATATATATATATATATATATATATATATATATATATATATATATATATATGTGTGTGTGTGTGTGTTTGTGTGTGTGTTTCGGGGGGTGGGGGTGGGGGCGACGCTGTGAGTTGCCACATAGGGGGACACCCGACCTAGTGACGCCTATGTACTCACATACACACCCAATTAAAGGCGTTTGGTTTTTCTGAAACGATAGTGCACTCGTATTTTTTCCTTTAGTTAAATCATATCGATCAGTTTAAATGTAGTATTTAAAGGTTTTTTTTAAAGGTCGGCGCTTCCCAGTGAAGACGATAGAATGTATCAACCATCGCTTTTGGAAAGTTTCAAACCGTGATAACACCATAATAATGGTGAAATCTGTGAGATGGTGCGAATTGTTTTAATGGTACGAAGGTTATGGTGGTGCGACATATTAAAAATATACAAAACTATATGACGGATCTAAATGTTATAAAAAATACAAACTGTATGATGGTGCGAAATGTTATAAAAATACAAACTATATGACGGTGTGAAATGCGATGATGGTACACTGCTATGATAGTGCCAGATGTTTAGCTGTTATGTTACAGTGGCTATGATGGGGTGTTATTGTATGGCGTCTCAAAGATAATGATAGTGCGAAGTTTAAATGTTAAAAATTGTATAATTGTGCGAATGATTAAGTTGGTGCAAAGGCTATAATGGTACGCGATGCTTTGATTCTGCACAAAAAAATTTTTTTTTAACTCAAACTACCAATGAATGCGGCAAGACTTAACAACTAGCTATGGGATCATCATCGATATTTTAAAAACAGTGAACGAGGGCTTATACTTAAAAGATTAGCGAACTCTTCACACACGAACCCAGCATTTTTTTTGACTTTTCAACTCTCTTATAGTGCCTATACTGACAGAAATAAATGCAAAATTCGTGCACTGAAAAATGAAGAGATAATGCTAAGCATCAAACAATCACCATAACAATGTATTTGAAACTTCGCGTTAAAACAAGAATGCGAAATGAAAGCTTGATGTGAATCATGTACTCCCTAAGCGATAGATTTAGGACAAATAATTATGGTTCAACGATATTACTCCAGCTAATTTCAACGCAAATTTCTCTCTATTTAACCAAAGAGAATTCTATAATTACACATTTAAGAATAAAATTTGTTTTCTACTTTTTGGTGCATTGTTATATAACCAAGCATGTTATTAAAACATTATTTACTAAAGATTTTACAAACATTTCATTTGTAACATGAAATTGTAGGGCACTACGCTGCTAACCAGCAAGTCTAGAATGTTGTTGATCGGGGACGAATCAGTAGATCCCTGAGGCGACCCAGCTATAGTGGGTAACTAACTTCTGGAAAATTTACATCAGCTGATCGAATGGTGCTGATCCCATGAACTCTCCATAAAGGGAGGTAAAAAAAACCAGTTGAGCCGTATAGACCGTCGGGTCTGTAAGAGTTGTGTGTAAACACATCACTGGAAGACGCCATCATGTCCTGTAAACACATCACTGTAAGACGCCATCATGTCCTGTAAGACGCCATCATGTCCTGTAAGACGCCATCATGTCTTGTAAGACGCCATCATGTCTTGTGAGGCTGGTACCGATTTAAACTTAATTAATTCAATAACCCGCTGACGTCTGCTAGAACAATTTAATTCAGCCCAACAATGTTGTAGAACATTGTTTTAAACTAGAACCTTTCGAAGTACGACTAACCACCCAATGATTCCAGGGTCAAACTTTTGTTGCCATTAATTTTCCTTTGTTAACTATACTGTAGTCTGCAACTACTTTTTTTCATTTTGAGAAATCAATCGAAGTAGTAAACACGTTGCTACTCTAGGCAAAAATAGTTTATTCAATATTATTATGGTTACCAAGGAATTTTTAAAAATCAGTTTTGTTCACAGCCCATCATGATGTTTAACAATAAAAGTAACTATGAACCAAATATCAAAGCAGTCATACTAGTTGTCCTTTAAAAAAAGCAATGCCATTCTGCTAATCTTCCTTTTAAGAAAGCATAGCTAAACCTTAATAGCTTTTAATTTTTTTACTATATGGTTGCACAATCAGACCTGGCGAGGAAGTAGAGTTATCAGCTTAGATGTTTTTAGATGTATCTGGTATATAAAGGTATAGTTTGGATATAATCTAATCACGCCGTCCAGTTAAAAAAAATGTTTGCCAATAAAATTCTTATAATAAACGAAGCCACGTACTCATTTTGCTCATTTGATTTATTAAGTTAAATTTTGAGCATATATTTGCGCGATAATTACTTTAATGTACGCACTTGTATTCAAGTCACAAACACATCTTTAGAACACATTTTACAAGTTATAATGGATTTTCTAAATAATAACATTATCAAAAGCATTATCAAGAGCATTTTTAACAAAAAAGTTCCTAACTTGAGAGAGTTTGAGTTTTTTAGGTAATTGTAATGTAAAGTGGGGTAAAACTCATGGTTACTAAACTAGAAAAGTCTCGCGTTCGAACCCCGGGCAAAAGAGGCCCTATAGCTGAGGATAGCAAATCTTTTGGAGAGACAACACAAAAATCAAACAGCGTTTGTTCTTGGTTTGACAAAAGCTATGGAATCAAATCCAAAAAGATAAGCAGGCTGAAATCGGAGTCAACGGCCTATATAAGGCGCATAACATGTTGACACGTAATACAAAATTGTGTTGGAGGAAAATCCCTTCCAACATTAAAAATTCAGAAGAAAGAAGAGAAGAAATAATATTAAAAAAAAAATAATTCGCGTGTTACCTGCTAGGGTCTGTTGCTGGTTGTGGAAACAGTTCTCAGTTTCAGATAGTAATAGTAAAATCAAGACATAAAAAATAAAATAAAAGATCCAAAAAATCACTTGATTGGACGGAAACGTGATAATTGCAGAGAAAATTATATGTTCCGGTAAACCCACATGAGAAGATCGAATCACAAAGAGTTTAATCAACTGTTATAATTAACAGAGAATAACAGTCTTTTAAATACAAATTATGAACTCAACAAACGGTGAAAAAGTAGGCTACAGAAAATGAAAGTTGAGATAATATATTAGAAAAAAAAATGAATAAAAAACGTTTTATTAAAAAAAATGAAAAAAAAAAAACGTTTTATCAAGGAATCAAGTTACATAAAAGCTTTTAATAAAAAATCAATATAAAATTCATGCGCAACAAAAAGTTGAATACAACACACTGAGACACAGAACCTGTAAAGATGACACGATATGTAAAACAAAAGTTGGAGTTACTCACCGTGAGGCGGAACAAAATAGTTTTTTTTTTCGAATAAATATTTAAAACAGTTTCGTCTGGTCCAAGTTTTTTCTTCTTACAGAAACCTTAACTCTAAAAGTTTTCTATATATATCGCGTGGTTGCCTCCCTTGAGTATATAAAAAAATTAAACTATCGACTGGCTATTTTATTTTAAAAAAGCGGAAGAATATTTAGTTTCAGATGTGAGCGAACTCATTGGAAGCAGGGCCCACTACTCTTGCGGAATCTCAGGTGTCACACGTCTCCGTCTCCATCTTTTATACCTTTCTCACCTTACAGCCCGCCATGGGAGGCCGGGGGTTGCCACAATGGCGTTGTTGCCACCACGAGCTTCCAATCCAATTAGAGACGAGCTGGGGGGGGGGGGGGGGATTGCGCACTCTCCAGGGCGCGTGCATCAAAGACATCGGGGAGAAAATACCTGTCAAAGATTGAGCAACAATCCGTCGAGAAAAAATATTATAGATCAAGTAAAAAAATATTTTTTAAAGTCTAGAAATATTCCCATTTTAAATCTAATGGTGGTTTATTTTCATTGAAAAGTTAAGAAATTGTCCCAGTAGAGATCTACATTTTTTTTTAAAGAAAAAAATATCATCAAAATATAATTTTTTTAGAAATTTTTTTTCTGTTATGTAAAGTTAAGAAATCTTTGTTTTAATCGAATATATAATATAAGCTGATAAAGTCCGTCCCATGCTAACAGCAGTTTCTTCCAGGCATCTCTTTGGGGGGCTTCGCCCACCCGAAGAAAGTCTACCGCCCCCCCCCCCCTCCTGAACAAGATGGATTTTATATAATAAACATACACTTTTACTAATGTCCCCCCCCCCCCCGAAAAATGTTAACCGCCCCCCCCCCCCCCCCCCCGAAAATTCCAATTCCCCCTTGGAGAAAAATGTCTGGAAGAAACACTGGCTAACAGAAAGGTGTAAAGAATTATGTTGAGCACTGTGAGAGATATGGTTATTTTGAATATGCATGTATGGTTTAGTTTAAGTTTAAATCATTATCAGTATAGTTTTAAGTACGAAAGTCTCCTTCTTCTTCGCTGTTGTTATTTTTATATTAAAGTAGATTTCTTCCAATACAATTAAGTATTACGAGACAATATGTTATGCGTTATGTGACCCATTGACCCCGACTTCATCCTTCTTTTCTTTCTAGATGAGCTCTGATGACCATGCCCCCCCCCACCCCACCAAGATTAATTAACCTGCTTGCCAGAAGTTCTTTGATTAAGGAGTTTTCGCTCCAAATGGGTGCCTGTGTGTTAGTATTTACACTGTGTCAATGTGTAATCTATCTATCTAAAACTACTAAAAGTCAAGTTTGTTTACATGTTTGAATATTTATTTGTTTGTTTGTTTGTTTGCCTGATTGACTATCTCGCATGGTTGCACTCATCGTGGAAAGCTGTAAAATAGTATGTAGGTAGAGAAATTTTTTTGTTTTAAGACAGACTGTTAATCACACATTTATTTAAAGATGTTAATTAATTTATTGATTTATTCATACGCAGAGTAACCCATTTTTTTTTAAAAGTTTAGAACGACCACTACACTCGGCGGGACCGTGACGTCACAGTTTTTTGTTTACTCTTTAGTACAATAAAATGGCGGCATCTATCGAAGAAAATTGTGTTCCCATTCAAAAGTTTAACGCGTTCTAAATCTAATTTTCTGTCGGTCATAACTTTAACAATACGTCCGTTTGCTGTATTTATTACGTTCCAACACTTATATCGATTTTAAACTGTCTTTTTTCATTTAGTTTTACAATAAATTTCTCTAGATCTAAAGATCAGCTGTCGAAGGAAAGTTATGAATCTAGCCTAGATCTAGATCTAGCCTAGATCTAGGTCACTAGACTCAATGTAAATTCTAGATCTAGACTTAATGTAAATTCTACATCTAGAATCTATTTCAGGCCTTAATACATCTAGAATCTATTTCAGGCCTTAATTATTTTATATAAATCTTTGTTTGGCTAATTTAAGATAAAATTTAATTTGAAAGTTACTAGATTCTACTACTAGACTTAGATCTAGATCTATGCGCGGAGACTCAAAAGTATAGTATAAAAATTCATTTGTGACGTCACGAGTAAATAGCTAAGTTGGTAGCGTAGTCCGCTCTCATGTGGGTGGTACAGGTTCTAGACCAATATGTCAATGATATTTTTTTTCAATTTTTTTTTTTTTTAGATGTGAATGATAAAGTTGCCTATCTGAACTTGGCAGGATACAGGGCAGGTGAAGTAGAGTTCATCTGTTTCTTTGTCCTAAGCATATGAAAGGATAGTGTGGTCAGAGACATGCTCGGCTGGAATAGTTTTTTAAACGATAAAAACATGTTGTCTGAGACTTGGCGGGACACTGGGCAGGTGAAGTAGAGTTGAGTAGGTCACATGTGACGTCAGTATATGAAGGGATAGTCCGAAATCGGTGTTTTCGGTGTTTTTAAAAGATAAGAAACATATTTTTGAATGTGGGGTCTGTTTTTGTGACGATAAGTGACACTGCAGTAGCGTAGCGAGGAGGGGGGGGGGGGGCGGGAGGGGAGGCGGGGGCGGGAGGGGAGGCGGGGGGGGGGGGAGGCGGGGGGGGAAGGGGAGGCGGGGGGGAGGTGGAGGGGGGGGGCGGGGGGACATATGTTGGGGCGCCAAAATGGTTTGGAAAAATAAATTGAAAGGTTGAGGGGGGTTCAAATCGAAAGTTTGAGTGGGGGGGGGGGGGTGCACATCAAAAATTTGAAGGGGGGGGGGTTGAAAATCGAAATCTTGGGGGGGGGGGGGTTAAAATCGAAAAGTTTGTCCCCGGGCGCCGGGAAGGGTCGCTATGCCTCTGAGTGACAGACGTGATGTTTTTTGATGGATGTCCCCCGAAACCCACAGTTATCCAACGGATGACGGGTATTCTAGTATTTACTAATCCAAAAAACAAATTGTCATAACGTAAATAGGTGCATATTTTCCAATTACAATAAGAGCTAACGCATGTGTTTTTTTTTTAAAAAAAAAGGTGAACCAATCTAGATCTCTCTTGGCTTAATTAATGAATTTTTAAGTATAAAAAATGGTTGATTAATTTTGGGTTTTAGTTTTAAGAAACGTTGTTTTTCTTTTCATGTGTTTGAAGAAGATAAGTTTAATGTTAAATGTTTATTAAATAGAACATATTTTATATGTTGGGAACAAGGAACATAGAAAATAGAATTAGATTTTGAGAACAGGAAACATACATATAGAGTCGGGCTCATGGATAATATATTTAGATGTGGGGAACAGGGAACTTGACTCCGCCAACAGATTTGGAAACAAGAATTACCTTAAGAAACAAGAGCAATCGTGAACGGAAACAAGGAACAATATAACTGTTTGATGACAGGAAACAAGGAACAATATAACTGTTGTCAGGAAACAAGGAACAATATAACTTTTTGATGTCAGGAAACAAGGAACAATATAACTGATGCCAGGAAACAAGGAACAATATAACTGTTTGATGTCAGGGAACAATATAACTGATGTCAGGAAACAAGGAACAATATAACTGTTTGATGTCAGGAAACAAGGAACAATACAACTGTTTGATGTCAGGGAACAATATAACTGGTTGATGTCAGGGAACAAGGAACAATATAACTGCTTGATGTCAGGAAACAAGGAACAATATAACTGATGTCAGGAAACAAGGAACAATACAACTGTTTGATGTCAGGGAACAATATAACTGGTTGATGTCAGGGAACAAGGAACAATATAACTGCTTGATGTCAGGAAACAAGGAACAATATAACTGTTTGATGTCAGGAAACAAGGAACAATATAACTGTTTGATGTAAGGAAACAAGGAACAATATAACTGATGCCAGGAAACAAGGAACAATATAACTGTTTGATGTCAAGAAACAAGGAACAATATAACTGTTTGATGATGTCAGAAAACAATGAACAATATAACTGTTTGATGTCAGAAAACAAGGAACAATATAACTGTTTGATGTAAGGAAACAAGGAACAATATAACTGATGTCAGGAAACAAGGAACAACTTAAAAACTACCCCCCCCCCACCAACACACACTCACTCGCTAGTTCAAAACTGTGTGTTGTAATTTGCCCACATTACCCGTATATGGTTTGTGGATTGCAAAATTTTATTTGGCAATAAACTATTTAAAAATATATATAGATTAGATATATTTTCATTCACAATCCTTTTCTGAACCGGTTGAAATTTTCTGTTGACGAAGATAAAGCCTTTAATTCACTAATTCGTTGAAAATCATTTCGCTGAAAATGAGATTGTTTTACGTTATTCCCGCCGCGTCAGGTTCCATTCAAACAATAGGCCGCTTTCTTTGTTCCCGATACCGGCTATAAACATCCCAACCGGCATCTCTATTGACCAAACTTCCGTTAAAAACTTTGATTTATTAGGAATATTATACCGGAGCTTTCTTGATGTGGCCAGATTTTCTAGCCAGTGTAATGTTAGAAAGACAATTCAAACGGATGAATATAACTAATATTTAAAAAAAAATAAAACTGAAATTTAAAAAAATAAATAATTTGCTCCAACATTAGAAAATTGCTTTTTAATTCTACAAATTTTTTTTTTTTTTTAAATTATATTTTGAAATTCTATGGAACAGAAAACCTTCACGAAGTCTGGCAATACAAAATGAAATAAAGTAATTTATATTGAGATGGGATTCTGGGAGATTGGTCCACACCACATCCCATGGTACCACAGGGAAGATGACGTACTTTAAAGCTCGATTGTTTTCGTCGGGGTATTTGAGTCGTGTAGGCGGGTACATCTTGTGTCGTTGGAGGTAGGGGTGTTTTTGTCGTGTAGTGGAAAGTATGGGTATTTGTGTCGTGTAGTGGAACGTATGGGTATTTGTGTCGTGTAGTAGAAAGTAGGGGTATTTGTGTCGTGTAGTGGACAGTCGGGGTATTTGTGTCGTGTAGTGGACAGTCGGGGTATTTGTGTCGTGTAGTGGAAAGTATGGGTATTTGTGTCGTGTAGTGGACAGTAGGGGTATTTGTGTCGTGTAGTGGACAGTAAGGGTATTTGCGTCGTGTAGTGGACAGCAGAGGTATTTGTGTCGTGTAGTGGAAAGTATGGGTATTTGTGTCGTGTAGTGGACAGTAGGGGTATTTGTGTCGTGTAGTGGACAGTAAGGGTATTTGCGTCGTGTAGTGGACAGCAGAGGTATTTGTGTCGTGTAGTGGACAGTAGGGGTAT